TCTATGCTCCCTATGTGTTAGTTATTTATGCTGGATCATCGTTCGCGTTGTGGGCTTCTTTGGCAAACGTTGGACATGTATGGACTCCACCACTGTATGGGGGAATGACGCCAGATGCTGGGAGAAACTATCATTGGATTAATACGCCAGTATTGAATCTTTCTATCGGAAAGAAATTTAACTTCACACAACCAATAGACATAAGTAGTGCTAACAAGCTTATCGAGTGGCTGAGAAATGCATGATTGTGATGTTCGAGATGCTCTAGTTAGCATTGATTTAACTACTTCACTTTTTCAACTTTAAACTGTCGTAATAATACTTTGGACTTTCAGGCTGTTCTGAACACTCCTTTGATTGATAGGGCTTAGAAATTTGAATCAATAGTATAATATTTTCATGAATACTAGAAATTCTTCGAAGTTTTTGATTATATAGTTACTACTAATTTCTTTCTTCTTTGTCTTGGCATTCGTACAACGAAACAATAGTAAGATATTTTGAAGATAAAAAAAGACCTAAAAGCTTAAATGTTAATCTAGACATAACTCTTCATGATGGTGTTGATAGTATGAAGTTGTCCTATATGAAAATCCTTGTACTTGTGTGTAGATTAATTGCATTGTTTATTGCTCTTGGATTAAATCAAATTCAAGACTAGCCCTTACGAAAACTTAGAATCATGACAAATGACTTATAGTAATCCAAAAATAGTGGTAGAGTCATTTCAGTTCGTTATGAAAAGTTTAAATAAATATTCTCTCTCAGTGGATCCACTAGTAGAAACAGTGCTCTAGTTTGCTATGGTATTTTATCCTTCTTCAACTAATATCATATCAATAATATTTTGATCAGATCTGTTTGCTGTAATATATAAAGGCACTCATGGCCAAATTTTCTGCGAAAAAACGCGTTTCCAAAAAGTTTTTCCTGATTGCTGCGAAATGCGATTCGACTGTTCTATCATGCACTTATTTATGGTCGTGGCAATCTAATATAAGCCGCAATCAATATTCGAACTGTCCTCAGAAATGAATTCGAACAGGAAAACAGATGATAAAATACATTATTAAATAAGCAAAAAGTCACTGAGCTAAAGCAACTGTAAGAACAACACTATTTATTGTAGCGTGATTTAGATTTTATCAATATAATTATAGATTTCATATGAATACATTTTCAATATTGTCTTAAGACTAGTAGAATCTCGGTTTTTTTCTCGCTATTCTAAGTTTAGTCTATATTTATAGATAGAATAAGACGAAGGGCCCTGTGTACTCTATTGTTCGTTCTTAGCCGACTCGAATTCATTTGGATAGATCCTTAAATTACTTGAGCTAGAATAAAATCCACAATTCAAGTGCTACATAAATTTTTCGTGTATGATACATGGTGCTAAGAATGAACAGGGCATTGTCGACAACCCTGTTAATGATTTTAAAAAATGGTTTTATTTACTGTATGTTATCAATTTCCATTAATAAAATAGTTTTGCATGTAAAAAAAAGTCTTGATAAAACATATATCTTGGATTTCCGTCGACTTATAGGTAATTTGAGAGAATCAAACGTAGACAGGTAGAATGAGAATTTCATGCTGTTTTCTAGATATATAATCATTTAGAAGTTTCTTCTGACTTAAAGTTAACTTAGTGAGAACAAATATTTGATGGGAACAAAAACCAGCGTTTGTATCGAAATTTTCATGTAGCCCATTTTTTTATGTTGATTGCAACTGCCTAAAATAAAATTATATGAATGTCCTCTTATATGCAAGTTTGTAGAACATAACTTGCTCTACAAAATGCTCATTTTGTTTCGCTTCCTACTGATCGTTGCAAACTATCAGAGTCTGTTAAATTTAAAACATCGAAATTCGGCAACAATGTTTGTTTAAAAAAAAAGAATCTCATCTAAAGAGTGCTATTTTGGAACCTGTAGGTAGATCTTGTCTATTTTGAATTTTAGCTTATTGGAACCCATGAATTAATAGAGTTTTGAATTCTCTACAATAATAGAAGGTAAAAACTATCCTAAAATACCCTTTCGATAAAATGCTCATGATTGAAAAGTCTATTTTGTGTAGATAGTTGGCTACATCTAACCAGCCGTAAGTCAGAGTAAAATTGTAAAGATATATTTAGAAAGAGCATCAGATTTTGCTTCTAATTAATAGCTTTGATATCCTTAAATCATATTTAAATATTCGAAAAATGAGTAAAGATGATTACTCAGGTCTCTGAGTTTAGTTGTTTATACAGACGTTGTTTTTGGTCGTCTAACACTGAATATTTGCTCTCATTAAATTAACTTTAAGTCAGGAGAAAATTCTAAATAATTATGTATTTAGAAAATAGCATAAAATTCTCATTCTAGCTTCCTACTTTGAATTCTCTCCTGCAACCTATAAGTGAACGAAAATCGGACATATATGTTGCACACCGACATCAGTCCCGTAGACAAACTATAGATGGCTAGTTGTGTGATATGAGTCAAGGAAGAAAACTCAGGGTACACAAAAGTCGCACTGACTCATTCTAAAAACTTGAAGTTACAAAGGCTTGCATAAAAATCAATGCTAGAAATTAAGACGCAAGAGTTCTGCTTGAAAATCCGTTTCAAAAGCTTCAGGCAACATAGTCATGTTTTACTGTTAGAGTGAATCAGTACAGACACAAGAAGTAGACGTGATACTGAAAAGAGAAAGTGCAGGTCGCATGGTAATGGGAGTCAATATTGAAGAACACGTATAGAATACAGATTAAGCTAAAAACTATGACAAAAGTATTCTAGTGCAAGACAGTATTAGTGAAGGAGTGAAGTGGATAGCTTAAACATGTGAAGTGATTGTAAATAACCAGTGTAAAATTATTCCCTATCTAAGATGAAATATGTAAGGATATCGATAGAATATTTTAGGTGGCAGAGAAATATGAAATATTGGAAAGATGGAATTGAAGGTCAAAATGAATTTTAAACCTTGTGACTAGACATAATGGTGCATACTATTATTTCAAAATCATAGTGTTAATGGATCAGATATTTATTCAGTTATTCATCCGTTTATCTAAGTGACTATTCTTTGCTTAAAAAACTTGCTGCTGTTATTTTACATGACATTGTTCGCTGATTCTGATCATCTCTTACTTCATATGTATGTTATCTTAAACTGTTTGATCTTGATATGTTGATTTCAACTGCTTGTTAAAAATTGTATCGAAAAGTTTAATTAAAAATAGACCTCTTTCAAAATGTTGGTAATTCTCTTTTATCTATTCTTCACCAATAGATAGCGTATCAAATTAATGTGTTTATTTTTCTAATCATCTTTTTTCCGTTCACTAAATCCTGTGTGTTTTATTATGGAGTATAGATGTGTGGTTGAAGAAAGGACACGAATCCCGCACGTTGCACCCAGCGACAACCACTCACAGCTGGGAACCGGAAAGTTGAGCACGAGGAAAGATGAGCACGGAAAGTTAAGCACGGAAAGTTGAGCACAGAGAAAGATAAGCACGGAAAGTTAAGCACCGAAAAGATAAGCACAAGGAAAGTTCAGCACCGGAAAGTTGAGCACGAAAAGGGAAATTACTTTAGACATGGTGATAATGAGCAGCCCGGGGGAACACAGCTGATTTTAAGATTTCAAGACTTCAGAAGATTTCATGAGACTCCAAAAGATTTCAAGAGATTGCAACATCAGAAACTTCAAATTTTTGAAAGATTTCGAAAGACTTTAAAAGACTTTTAAGAACTTCAAAGGATTTTTCGGAACTTCAAGAGACTCCCAAAGGCTTCATGGAACTTCATAAGACTTCATGAGACTGCATGGTACTTCCAAAGACTTCAAAAGATTCATGAGACTACAAGAGATTTCATAACCAGAAAAAAAATCACAGACTTCAAGATTTCAAGACTTTGCAAGACTTCAAAAGGCTTTACGAGACTTCAAAAAGTTTCAAGAAATTTCTAAAGATTTTAAGAGATTTTATAGGACTTCAACAGACTTTCAAGATTTCACAACTGAAACCCCTGCTGTTTCCCCTTTGGGGCAGACGAATGCTGAGCGTAGATGTAGAGTGGGTGACTGTTGGTGAAGGTGAGTTGGTGTAGATGCAAGTGAGTGTGGGTGTGAATGGGATAGGTGGCTATGAGCTCGCAAGGTGTATATAACAACTTGATCCCTATTCACATCCATATATACACCCGTCCATCGACGCACATTCATAACCACTCGGCTACCTCACCGACCCTCATATGTCTACCTCTACCCAACTGTCCATTTCACCGGCACCCACTTGCCCATCCTCACCTGCACTCACTTGTACCTACCCTCTCTACACTTCTTCCCCCACCTACACCTACACTCAGCATTCGTCTGCCTATTAACGCCATGTCGAAATTAATTTCCATTTTCGTGCTCAACTTTCCGGTGCCGAACTTTCCTTGTGCTTATCTTTCCGGTGCTTAACTTTCCGTGCTTATCTTTCTCTGTGCTCAACTTTCCGTGCTTAACTTTCCGTGCTCATCTTTCCTCGTGCTCAACTTTCACCAATCCCTCACAGCTACATTCTCGTTATTCGCTTTTGTTTTCGCCATTTTGACTTTTTGTCTAAAATAGGATACATCCAAGTTAATAGCTGCTGCATTATTTATAGATTTATTTGTAGAAACTCGTTTACCGGACTGAAAAAATTATCCAATCTTATTTGAATGATCTAATTATAAAAAACTGACTGATGGTAAGTTCTATCACACAAACTAAAAAAAATCAGATGATTAATTTTCCTTATAGATTAATTTGACTATTGATGAAATTTGTAATCTGATGAAAAAAAGGAGAAACATTCAAAATATGGCCATTATTGCTCATTTTGGTCATGGAAAATCAATATTAACTGACTTACTTGTGTACAAAGCTGGTTTTATTATTTCACAGAAGGCTCATGAAATGCTTTTCAGTAATGCACGAAAACTTGAAAAAGAACGATATATTAAAACTACATCAACGTAGGATAGAAAAAAAACTTTGTTTTAGTTTTCATCATAGAAATTCATACTTAGAACTATTTCACTTTATTATGAATTACCTGCTAAAGATTTAGAACTCACCAAACAAGAGTGTGAACCCAATGTATCGTACTTTTTAATTAGTCTTATTGACTCACCAGGTCACGTTGATTTTTCCTCGGAAGTTAGCGTTACTTTATGTATTAGCGACGGTGCTCTCGTTATTGTTGATTGTACCTCAGGTAACAATTATTTCTTGAATGAATAGAGTTGCTTTTTTTTTTTATTAAAGAATTCTTTTTTCGAACTTAAGGAGACCGTTTACAAACTGAAACTGTTCTTCGTCTAGCTATTGCTGAACATGTTAAACCAATTTTATTTATAAATAAAATGGATCGTGCTTTACTTGAATTAAAACTCGAACAGGAACATCTTTTTCAAACATGTCGACGTATTGTTGAAAATGTCAATGGTATCATTTCTACTTATGGTAATAATACTAGTCCAATGGGCGATTTACAAGTAAGTCAAAAAGAAAGCAAACAAACAACTTTTGTCTTTGCTGAACATATAAAATTCGCGAATCAAAGAGATGTATTTTGTTATTCTTTTCGAATATAGCCTTTCAATTCGAGCTGCCGACTTATCAGGTAGAGTTTGTCGGATTAATTTCGAGTACGAAAATTTTGGATCTAATGTGCTCTACTGCCAGGCTAGTTGTGACTCATATATTTTGGAAATCACATGTGCTGTTGCATCACCTTATTATTTCAGTGTATTTTGACAGACGAACATCTTTGAGTCCAACATAATTGCATGAAGTATTTTGCATTCGCTCATCTCTTAGTTGTATGCGAGTTCAAGCCTTTCTCTTATGAAAAACATCTATGGTGATTTTCTCTTTGTTTTTATTTGCACAATTTTCTGTGAACCCTCATTCTATAGGTTTTAGTTGAAAGAGCATGCCAAAGGGTAGTGGTCTTTTTTTTAAAATTCTTACTCTTTATGATGAGAAAAAGGATAACTAGTTCATGACCTCGAAAAATGATCATCTATTTATTGAAGTATCCTTTTTTGTCATACAATAATAAAAAAATTGAAGTAAAAAAAGCACTGCAGTGAAGCTCCATCAATCATTTTAGGATATGCTATCAGAAAAGTATACGATGGCGGAAATTACCAAAAATTTTAGCAAAAAAGGAATCAGATTTCGAGCTATCTTTTCGTGCATTTGCTTCTGTTTTGATTTTTTTGACAGAAATTGACTTTTTTGGAGTGGGAGAGGGTTTAAGTGAACAACTGAGATTAGAATGATATATACTAAAGCAGAGTTATAAAATTCTATGTATTCGAAAAAGTCAGAAACATCTATTGGCAGCTAATTCAATAAATTGATTATTTTAGGTTGATCCAACAAAAGGTATAGTTGGCTTTGGTGCTGGTCTTCATCGATGGGCATTTACATTAAATCAATTTGCTGAAATATATGCATCAAAATTTAAAACTGTAGTTGGTAAAATAATAAAACGACTATGGGTTGATCATTTCTTTTCACCAACAGAAAAGAAATGGTCAAAAACTGATGGAGAAGGTAAATTATTTCTAAAAAGAAAAACCAAAAACGAAAAGAAATCATTGTTCAATAACATATTAGGTTATATTCGAGGTTTTTGTCTATTTGTTCTTAGTCCTATATTCAAAGTATTCAAAGCTATTATGGATTGTAGAAGAGACGAATATACACAATTGTTTAAAAAATTAAATATTAAATTACAAGATAAAGAACATGATAAATTAGAATAAGGTGGTATATCACTTTTAAAACTTGCTATGCAACAATGGTTACCAGCTAGTGATGTTTTTCTTACGATGATTGCTATACATTTACCATCACCTGTTGTAGCACAAAAATATCGTGCTGAATTTATTTATGAAGTTATGTGTATAGAAAAAAATTTATGTTTTCTTCAATTAAGATTTATATCTATTTAGGTCCACAAGATGACGAAGCATGTTTAGCTATTAAAGAATGTAATCCAAATGCTCCATTGATGGTTTATATTTCAAAAATGATACCAACATTGCATAGAGGTCGTTTCTTTGCTTTTGGTCGTGTCTTTTCGGGTATTGTTAAGTCAAATCAATCAGTTCGTATTATGGGTCCAAATTATGTACTAGGTAGAAAAGAAGATCTTTACGTTAAAAATATTCATCGGTATGTAAAGTTAATTTTCTGTTTCTGCAAAATATGTCAAAAGTTTCATAGAGAAAAAAATCAGAATAGATATTCAACAAGACGAGCGATTAACATGAATTTTCTATAACTTATTTGTTTCTTTAGCGGGATTCTCCTTTCTTTCTCATGGTTATTTAAGGAACGACTTACCAGAAAAAATAGAAACATTCGCAATATGATACACCTTGATGAGTAGAACAAAAGCTGTACTAGACTCAAAATTTTCGGATGATTTCTTTCAGAAGATGTTGAAACTGGCCGTATTCAACAGTGTGGCAAGGTCATGATTCATGTTCTAAGCCCCGTTGAAAGGAATCATTAGCGAAATTTGGTATAGAATAGAACAATAGTCGCACGAGTTTTTTGTTGTAAGTTTTGAAAGTTCGATTTAATAAAAGCACTAACTAACAACAAAGACCCATCATTCATAAGGTATTTGCTATAAGTCACTTCAGGGCTGTATTAGCAATGTAAAACTAGAAATCGCCAAAAAAATCCGGTTTTCACACTTGACAATAACAGAGAGTTCCTCTTAAAGTTTTATTTAGCGCTGAATAGGAGTCACCTATGATTACAATAAGACGATAGTCAGTCGAGTTTGATAAAGAAAAAGCAAAAGAAGATGGTATTGAAGAGATATGTCAAAAATTTCTGATACTATTAACTAATTGTTTAGCAGGCCAGCCACATTCTGAAAGTCCTACAGAATCGAAAGGAAAAAGAACTATTAATATCAAGTATTCTGATTGGCTTTGGCAATAAACTACATCAGGTTTTAGACAACGTGTTCCGTAACAGATGTATTCAAAAAGATGTGTCTTTTCGATGTGTTCAGCAGTTACAACCATTCCAATTCCTTCCGTGAGAATGCATAGACAACGATGCTTTCATGATCATAATCAAAGGTCATATTGAAATCATAAGAGGAAACATTATGAAAAATACAAGAGCGTGAATGACCATGCGAGTTTCAATTCAGTATCATTATTTTAAACAGCGAACGTAAACAATATATGCGAAACAATACTTTGCGAGCAACCAAGCAAAAATATAAGCAATCTAGCCCTATTGTTCAAGATTTTTTTTCACATTGTTTTTGTAGACGAACTTTTTTTAAAAGTCTTCATATGAAAATTTATGATAATTGAATTTCCTATCCAAATTTTGATTTTCACTTGATTTGTTTTCTTCGAATAGAAAAAAAGCCAAAAATAATTATAATAATTCATTTTATTTGTTCTATGTTTAGAATAAATCTTATGATGGATCGTTATATTGAACCAATTGAAGATGTACCATGTGGAAATATCTGCTGTCTTGTTGGTGTTGATCAATATTTAACTAAAACTAGTGCAATAACTACATATGAAAATGCATACAATCTTCGAGTATGTTGTTTTATTGGAGTTCTATGAACAATATTTGTATATATTGTAGGCAATGAAATTAAGTGTCACTTCTGTTGTACGTGTTGTTGTTGAACCAAGAAATCCAGATGATTTACCAAAATTAGTCGAAGGTTTAAAACATTTAGCTAAATCAGATTCTATGATTGAAGAAGGACTTTTTTTTTGAATAATTATTTATGATGTCATTGTATATTAAAGTGCACTATCGAAGAATCTGGTGAACATATCGTAGCCGGTGCTGATGTATTACATCTAGAAATTTGTCTGAAAGATCTTGAAAAAGATTATGCTTGTATTCCAATAAAAGTTTCTGATCCAATGGTATCATATCGTGAAACTGTATCTGAAGAATCCGAAATAATGTGCGTATCGAAATCACCTAATAAACATAATCGTATGTATGTTTATTAGCTCGACCTATGCCTGATGGTAAAAAACAATCTTTATTTATTGGATTTGAGCTATTCTTTGTCATTGACTTTTTGAGGTTTACCGTAAGATATTGATAAAGATGAAATAACATCACGTCGAGAATTTAAAGCACGTGCACATTATTTAAATGAAAAATATGATTATGATATAAATGAAGCACGTAAAATTTGATGTTTTGGACCTGAAGGAACTGGACCAAATTTTTTAATTGATTTTACTAAAGGTCTACAATACGAAAATGAAATAAAATATAGTTGTATTGTTGTTTTTCAATGGGCTACAAAAGAAAGTGTACTTGCTGAAGAAAATATTCGTGGTGTTCGTTTTGATATTCATCATATTATACTAAATAGTGATGCTATACATCGTGGTTGTGGCCAAATTATTCCAACAGCTCGTCATGCAATTTATGCATCAATGCTCACAGCAAAACCACGACTATTTGAACCAGTCTATTTATATGAAGTAGAAGTATGTTTAAAAAGTGCAAATTTTCATGTTCACAGAGTTATAATAATTGTATTTAGTGTCCAGAAGTTGCTCTTGGTAGTATTTATGGTCTATTAAATTGTCGTCGTGGTTATGTTTTTGAAGATCATCAAGTAGCTGAAACATCAATATTTATTCTTAGAGCTTATTTAACAAACAATGAATCATTTGGTAAGAGAATAATCTTGATTTTTTTTTATTCATATTTATTTTACTGCTGATCTTCGTTCTAATATAGGTGGTCAAGCATTTCCACAATATATATTTGATCATTGGACAATTATAAACCAAGATCCATTTGATGACTCAACTGAAGTTCGACAAATTATTAATGATATTTGAAAAAGTAAAGGATTAAAAGAAGGCATTCCATCATTCAATGATTTCCATGAAAAATTATAAAGAAGAAAAAGAAAGAAAAAAGATAATAGCTACATTTGCATATTTTTTGTGCATCTATATGACAAACTGTTTTTCTCGTTCGAGAATTTTCTGATTTCGTATAATCACCATCAGCACAAGCATAGAGAATTGATGTCAGTTGAAGTTTCATTATGTGTGATTCAAAAATTTAGATAATTTTACTGAGTTGGAAGAAAGTATGAAAGAAAATATAATTGAAGCAAAAACTACGAATGTTGATTAATGTGTTTTTTTACGAAACGAAGATAACAAAAAAATACATGTGGAACATTTGCTTTTTCTCCTCATTGTTATCGCCACTTATAGAGTAAGATACATAATAAAAGTATTTTCGTCTTTTTATGCTTGAGCCAGACCCTATGTCCTTTGGTCGGCGTGCGCATCTTTTATAGATAACTAAAATATGTATGATACTTATTTGCTGGCAATCGTTGACATACAATGAAGTCTAGAGGAATGCTGATCAAATAGAGGTTTTTGTTAAGAAATGGTGTTTCATTCATAATCGAAAATCGGTTGACAACTATTTCAGATTATTTGTTTGATAAAATTGTATGACCATATCGATTATCAATATGCATTTACTTGGTGCCTGATGTGTCATCGATTGAATTATGTTAACCTAGATTTATACCTAAATTGAATGATATTTTTCGCTTCTTTGGTGAGTATCACTGAGTCCTACAAAGAGATATTTCAAAGCAGAAAGAATAGAATTTCATTCACTCGTTAATTTACGTCCAAATATTTTGATATAATTATTTATTGATTCTAATACAATTGACTGTGCATTTGTTTTTAAAAACATATAACGTTATCATGATAGCAATCAATTTATTCATTTTGATGCACGAATTCCTCAAGATTTACGAAATTCTATTATTACAAATTTACAAAATATTTATCTATAAGGAATTATTCAAGATTTCGCTAATATTATCAGAAAAAAACTCCGAACTGGACTTTTTCATTTAATTTCAATGTTATACGTTAGCTTTTTTCATAATGAACTATTCACGCGCCAGGTATATACTAAATATTTTAAATAATTGTTTCTGGCATATGTATAGATTTCAGACTAACCAAAATAATGTGTGTCATTATTGAAATAATGAAAATCTTTCAATAAATTTAATTAATACTGAAAATCAAGAAAAGTTTCTTTAAGGCTTCCCTCTCTCCTAAAAGCCACTTTTCGTCAGAATGGTTGAAATTAGGATAAATGCAGGAGAAGATAGCCCGTGATCTGATCTCTCATAAGCGATAAAAATTTTTACTCGACATCTCGTTTTTCCAAAACTTTTTGAAGATTTCCGTCACTCCCTATTCGAAAAATAAGCCATTTTTGAAAAAAACCGGAAATCTTTTTCATTTTTTCTGAATTTATGCTTTCTTGAACCTGCAAGCAACAATTCTTTGCCCAAGCGCATTCTATATATTGAAAATTTTTTGTTTGTTTGAAAGAGCATGTCAAGATGCAGTGCGTACCAGAGCCCTTTTTTAAATTATGCTTTGCTTTTACTATATATACAAACACTTATATATATAGATACCTATTTTTGGCGTGTTTTTTGAGTCATTAAACTTGTGATCCCTTTTCTCCGCTTAAAAAGTAAGAATTTAAAGAAAAAGACTCTGATAGGCACTGCATCCTGATATGCTCTTTCCAACAAACAAAAATTTAAATATATAGAAGTAGTCTGAGCACAGAAATCTTGCTTGCTAAATGAGCTATTTTCGGTCCTTATTTGGTGAATTTCTCTGCCAAATGTCGTGATATAGAGCTGAAAATGTTATCATGGCCTCTCCACTACATCCCCAATATATTCTGAAAATTTCAGCCAATTTGGATGTATCTGGACTGAGATCGGTTTTTGAGCGGAGGGAAGGCCTTAATTAAATTTTTTTACAGTGAAATACGACAAAACAATTTTTAGTTGCAAAATAATAAATACATTGAACAGTTTCTTCAAAAATACAACATCGATTTTCTTTTCGTAGAACTTGACCAAAAAAGAACATTTCCATTTTTAATCAGTATGATAAACTTTTCCCGTTAATGGTGTGGGTGGATATCAGGGAAAACAAAGCCTGTACCCAAGCCCATCACTCCTATATCCTTGACACCCAAACTCACACCATCAATGGAAATTCAGTTATCTATGATATACTTGATCGTTCACAAATAAAATTTTATCACCGACCTATCATTCCATAAGAGAAAATACAGAAATAGAATTTGAATCTAATAATGATCAACTATTAATGAAACAACATTCACTTAAAAACTGTAGTTAGAAATAAGAAAAAGCTTCTAGTGCCTTCTAGATTTCAATTTCTATGAAATATTTTCAACATTAAATTCATCTATCAATTTTTCATACTATCTCTTCGTTAAGTATTGTGATATGCTCACTGTTAACATGAGAACATATTGAGAGGCAGAGCTTTTTGTTGTTTAGATATTGAATTTTTGATAGATTTTTCTTGCAGTACATCAATTTTTGAGTCACATAGTACGGTTGGATATAGATCTGACACTTTGTCCACATAATGACTCTGATTAGAGCAGCTTGTTGAAAAAATTTCAGAATTTTTCTACATAGTCTCTATGAGATATGAATCCTTGAAAATATACGAGCTGTGTCATAGTTAGGATGTATACATAAGATAGTGAGAAAACTGGATGCTTTATTATTTAATTGCTGTTTCACTTATAATACTAGAATTTAAAGCAATATCGGATTAAGCATGATAGTTTTGGGCATATCAATACGCAACTGATTCTTTCATCATCATAATATATTTCCATTATTCGCATAGAATTATTTCTCATATACAATATCATACTGTTATACATTTCATCAAATATACTAAGGATAAAAAAATTTTTTAATTTTATTTATATGAATTATCAACATGGATTCCATTTTATTAAAGCATAACGAAACGATTTTTTATATTTAAACCTGTAAATACAAAAAAAAACAGCTGAAACAATTATAATCACATGTCTTCATATTCAGCAATTTGTATTTGTAGTAGAAAATTTAAAATAAATCTGCACTACTAAGCTTAACTTCTGAATCCTTTAATGTTTTCTAGTACACGCCAGTTAGCCTTTGTTTTTACTTTGGTCTTGTTTGACGCTGTACCTAGCCCTGCAATATTATAAACTAAAGGAAATCTGTATCAATTACCACTTATGAATTGTTTTCCCATTGAATGAGAAGAATGAAGATATTTAAATGAAAAAAGACTAAATAGTACAACATTATAATTAATGAAGAATCCATCAAATATTAAGCTGAGTGTTGAAAACAATCAGGTGAGTATTCAGTGATAATTGAAGAACAGTATGAAACTCAAGAATACAAGTATTGCTTACTGAATTTGTGTGGGAAAGTTTATTTTGTGGTATTTTACTGGTTTCGCTTAATTGTATAAATTTACATTAAATTGCAATTCAACTTTATTCACACACGAATAAGCTTGCATTCATCAATATATGCCTTTTAGATCATTACTAATATGATTAATTACTTAGCACTAAATTTTTCAAGAAGACTCTTAATCTGTTTCAAATTTCGATTCAAATCAACAGTTTCATTAAGGGAGAGTCCACTTCTCCTCTCAATAGACTTTCCACTTACGCTGTTCCATCTCGGCTGAAATTTTCAGAGATGAGTGCTTTGAGATGATCTAATCTGTAGTCTTATGTTGGTGAATAGTATCCGTATAAGAGATCAGAGTTAAACTCAAAAAAGGAAAAATAATGGTATGAGTCTTCATAAAACCCAGTACAACTACAGTATTATGAGCACTATTTGTCATTTGTTTTCTATTGATCTTTCTCATTCAAACAATATCAAAAAGGTAAGTTGCCAGATGTGTAAATAGGAATAACATCATCATTGTGATAGAGAAACCAAGTTTTTACTGTTTTTCAATCATAAAAAGAAAAAGACAAAAATAAAGATAGTTGAAAGAAAAAATTTCTCCCCTTTTTGTCTATCGATGATTAGATATGTTAACATATGAACATATATTCACCGTTTCAGACTAAAAAATGATTGAATCTAAGATTTTTTTAGTTACCTTCAATGCTTTAATACAAGAAGTTTCAGATAATCTTTTTTCTTCGATATTTTATACCGTTATATCGCCACCAATGGCACGGACACGTCAGTCTTTATAAAAAAAGAGTATCTATACCTTTATATCACACAAGTAAAAAGCTTGAATAAAGCAAAAATATCATTTTTAGTTATTTATTTGAATGGATCCAGATGGACCCCTCAGACAACAACGAAAGATTAAGGAAAATATTTTTCAAGAAAATTTATGTTATAGATGATTCTACGTGACTCCAAGAGTTTATGCTGAATATTATCTTGCTTTTGCATCCAAAAATCGTTTTGATTTCGTTATACTAACACTTTAGAAAATAGAAATCTCAGTTTTTGATTGACTCATAGCATCGATCATCCTTTTTAGTGCGCAGAATCAGTATGATCAACAGTCAACTCGGTTTATACAACAACTAATAAAAGCTTGATATCCATCATATTATAGTTCTCTGAAACACTTTCAAACTACAAAAAAGGATGCTTTCTAAACCCAAATAGATTTAAAAATTGTCTTTTTTTTGAGTAAAAAAGTATTGTTGTTATTTAGGGTTCAATATGGCTCGATCAGGTAGTTCCAAATATCAGCTTGATATTACAGCAAACTATGATCGTATTCGAAAGATAAATGGTGATGAAAGAGAAACCTGATTTTCAGGATGGTTCTCACTGACTTTCTGTGTTAATTGATGCATCATGAAAATTATGAGTAATGATAAATCAGATATGAACAAATTATCAGTGAAAATTTGAGATAAAAATAGATCAAAAGTCTATGTAGATTCACAAAAT